CTTTAGTCAAATGCTACATCGAACTTGGTCCTCTGAACCATGTAACAAAATCATCGTAGTCGGACTCAATTTGATATGACCACTAGGGTCGGAATAACAACCATCTTACTAGTCATTACCGAAACAATGGTAATGACATACCTGAATAAAACGAACTCAATTACAAGCTTCTTGGTAACCTTGTGACTTTCCCTGATCCAAGCGTGAGTCCTGTGCTTCCAGTAGTATAGATCTCTACTACTATTCACACCTACTCATACTCGTCCCAAGTATTGTCCCTCAGTCAACCAAGTCACCATACAAAATCACACAATCACATCAGATAACAAAACCAGGGTTTATATTATATCTTGAAACGATTACACAAAAGTTCAAGTTCACCCTATACTATGCCTCTAATAGGCTACATCATAAGTTACTATTCGCACTGCTACTTCATAACTTGATCCTTGGATATAAAATCCTCATCCTTGATTCGCTTCGTCGAGGATCATGTAGAATGCTCTCTGCTGTGGCGGTGCGTTTTCTTTGCAGCTTCGTCTTTCTTTGGGCAGTTCTTCGAAATATGACCACCATCTCCACATTCGTAACACTTCCTATTGTCGAACGTACAATCTCTGGAATAGGTCCTACCACACTTATAACAGGTCACTTCTCCATCGCATCTTCTGAAGTGCTTCTTCTTTCACTTTTCACACCACTTGCTTCTTTGTTGATCATTGAAGATCCTTCCTGCTTCCTTTTCTCTCCAACTTCAACTCTCTCCAGACCTTTCTCTCTTATTTGAGTCTCGACATTCCAAGCAGCCCAAATGGCGGCTTTCAGAGTGGTCGCTTGCTTGACCATCGGACCAAAGTCCGCTGGTAATCCGAGGGCAAACTTGTTGACCTTGGAAAGTTCCGTTGGAAGTAGGTAGGGAACAAGCTTCATTTTCTCCGTAAAACTAGTAGCGTACTCAGTGACGCTCAACCTTCCCTTTTTCAGATTCTGGAACTCATTATTGATTTCCAGAAGATCCTGCTCAGAGCAATATTGCATCTTTAGTTGCACCCCAAAATCTTCCCACGACATCTTGCTAGCTTCCCCCTTGGGCATAGAACCAGCCAATAGCTTCCACCAACTCAGCACTCCAGATTTTAACAGAGGAATCGCAAGAGCGGTCTTCTGTCTGTTGCTACACTCGCAACTTTCAAACATCGTCTCCATCTCGGAGATCCAGTCCATAACTCCCACTGGTGTCGGGCTTCCAGCTAGACACGATGGTTTGGATGCCATGAAATCCTTATACTTGCATCCACGTCCGTCATTTCCTCCATCCAGATTGTTCTGTCGAACTAATGGTGGGTCGGCTTGACCGATAATCCCACTTAAGTTTCCTTCTTCTGACCGCCCTCCATTCACTTCGGGCTCTTCAACTTGTATTGAAAGTTCTTCACGATTTTGCTGAAGCAGACGTTTAGTTTCCTCCATCTGACGATCCAACATTGTTTGAATCATCATTTGTACACCAACCATTGTCATTGGCTCAGGTGCTGCTGCTGCCACAACTACTGGTTCAATCACAGGTGCTTGATTCCTGTTTTCGTTTGCGTTTCCAACTCCACTTCTCGTTCTCACCATTGTTGATCTATACACCGAATAAGGTGAATTTAGATCCTCACTCATGATAGATATTCAAATCATCCTTATCACTCCGAAACGTTTACATGCTAGTTCTAATATCGTAGTCGTACGCTTAGAATCCTAAACACATAAGGTTTCCAGATCCGGTCGGCATCAGACCATAGATCCGAACAAACAATATCATATATGGCAAACATATAGCATTTAGCACATAAAAGCATTTTGGGGCATCTTTCCTAAAATATACTAGTGCTCGTCTCTAAAATATGGTAGACACTCATCTCACAATCATCGCTTAGCAATCTAAGTTTAAGTCTAGAAATCCTACAAATTCCTAGTTCGCTTAAACTAATGCTCTGATACCAACTGTGACATCCCCAAAATCACGGCCAGAAAAGACCGATTTGTTTATGCTTTGTTTTATAAATCAGAGTAATCTTTTATGGAAAACAGATGCGGAATTTGTTCCCAAAACAAAATATGATAAGAATTTTATCAAAGCATTTCTTTAAAGAAATGTATTTTCATTAAATAACAAAATCTCGGGATGTCATGTTCCGATACAGACCAAAGGCATAAACAATGTAAAATAGACCTTACAACAGTTACATATAACAACAAGTCTAAAATCAGAACATCTTGATTAAGTCATCCAACTTATGTTCTCGCGCCACTACCTGTAATATAAACAAAACTGAGTGCGTCAGGCTTGGGAGCCTGGTGAGCATATAGGGTTTTCAACCCACAATAAATAATTATATTTAATTTCACCAACCAACAATAACCCGATTACCCATTCCCGTTATCCTCACTTTACGTCCCTAAAACAACATCTATCTCAAGGGATCTAATCTAAGATTTTTCATCGGGACGGACATTACTACAAAGGGGTCTCCTTAAAAATAGATGTCCTAAAGGCAACCATGAGGGGGATAGAGTACATCGGTGAACACATCGTTCACCACACCTACAGGTTATGAGCCTGCTAGTGTTCCACTGGACTGTCTAGAAAGAGTCAGTGGTCGTCATCCATACTCCGCTAGATGACTAGATCAAAAACAACATCGATGCCTCTCATCATTTTATTTTATCACACACCAACTGTTTCATTTACACATGTTCTACCTAACATATTTGTAGATATAAATTACATATACAGTTTAAAATTATTTAAAAACTCGTATAAAACATTCATTCAACAACCATCTCAAGTAAACAAACAACGTATAAACACATAGCACATATTTCATAGCAAATACTTCATATCTATGCGGTAGAAGAAAGTAACTACACACTCACTTGATTAGACGATGCTCAGACAGTACTACGGCTCTTTGAGTAGTAATTCTCCGGTGAAACCGGGATATCTTCACACACCGGGCTTCTCGCAAGCAGAGCTTCGGCTCGGAAACTCTTTTCTTCTCGGGATCTTCGGGCTTCGGGACTCGCTTCGGGTCTCAGGATGATACCGGGGCTTCGGGGGGTTAAAATAGGGCTTAGAGAGAGTATTTGGAGTGGGAGAGATGAGAAGGCGCGTCCAAAATCGGCTGACCCTCGATTTCTATTTATAAGGTGAATTTTCTGGGTTCACCTCGTGAGTTTCTAATATTCACCTCGTGAGCTCGATACGTCATTGCGTTCGTGATGGCCACTTGCCCTGGAAGACGTCCATCATCTGTTCACCTCGTGAGTCACTAATGCTCACCTCGTGAACTGACTCACCTCGTGAGCCACATATGCTCACCTCGTGAGCTCTGACACAGCCTTGGGGTTCACGCCCCGAACTTCAGAAATTCATAACTTTCGCATACGAGCTCCGTTTTCGACGTTCTTTATATCCACGCGTAGGTGAGATTATGATCTACAACTCTCGTTTAGACTCTGTTGGCTAATTTGACTTTATTTTTTATTTATATTATTTTAGTAGGCCGGGACAGGAAAACTTCGTTATAAATTCATAACTTCTTCATCCGACGTCCGTTTTCGTCTGTCTTTTTACCGTTGCACTACCATTGATGAGATATTCAATTCTCGTTTAGATTGTTTCGGCTAAAAACCGCTCGATCTCAAATCGAGTATTCGGGCTGCACACTGCTAAGTCGAAACTTTGGAAAATCATAACTTCCTCATATGAAGTCAGATTTGGGCGTTCTTTTTATGCACGCTCGGTTTAACTAATTCTATGACTTTCATTTAGATCGCTAAGGCTAAATATCGCTCTATCGTAAATTCATATTTTACGTCGCGTTGTGTCGTGCCGGTTCTGTCGCGAAACTTCGACATGTCATAACTTCTTCGTTATAACTCAGATTTCAACGTTCTTTATATGTACGGAATCCTTGTAACATATACTACAACTTAGTTAATATTATTCATTCTAAATAATCTTCTATCAAAAAGTCATTTTTGACGCTTAACGTCTCTAAATTGACTAGCCCTGATCTACGGGCGTTACAGAGAGGGACCAAGTGCGCAAAAAAAAACAAACTGTAGGGACCTTCCGAGTTAAAAAAATAAGTTAGGGACCAAACATGCAAATTATCCCAAACCATAGGGACCATTCATGTAATTTACTCTATATCTTTACATATAAGTTAAAAAACAAAATAAAATTAAGCAAACAGACAAAAAAAAAGGCAATGTTGTCATTTTATATGAATTTCAATTCCATTTTTTACAAACAAACAGAATTTGAAATTAATTTCAATTTCATTTCCTGTCAACCAAACAGGATATCGAATTTGATTCAAATTCTTGACAGATTCTTTGTCCAATTCCAATTTCAATTTTTTTCATAAATATTCTGCAAACCAAATAGCACCTAGATTTTCATAAATGTAATCTGTGAAATGTACCTAGATTTTCGCAGTCAACATGTCCAAAACAATGTCGTTTTGTCAAAATAATAATTTTTTTGTAGAAGACCAAACACAACAAGAAATGACACCTTTAGGGACGACAAAATGCGTCGCAAATAGTCAAGCAAGTCGCCCCTAAAGGTATTAGGGATGACATGTCGTTCCAATTGGGTCGCCGCAAATACCTCGTAGCTAATACTCAAAAGTCGTCCCTTAAAGGCGTCGTCTCTAATACCTGTCGTCGCTAATACCAGTTGTCGTCCCTAAAGGTGGCGTCCCTAATAATATTCCGGCAACCGGCCAGTATTATTCCGACCAAATATTCCGGCGGGATGTGTCGTCACTAATGCTGAAGATCGTCCCTAAAGGTGTCGCCACTAATGCTTGTTTTTTTAGATAAAATTTATATTTTATATTAGTTTATATTATAAAAATACAGAATTTATAAAATTATAAAACTTATAATTTAAAAATCTGCATTACATAAAACATCAAATAACATAAAGAAAGTATATCACATTAACATCATCTAAATCCACAACAACATCATCCATATCATAAAGCAATATATATTAATCGTTGTCCCCATCATCGTTTTCCTCGTCGTTGTTGGTCGCATTGTCAACTTGTTTGCTAAATGAACGGATAATATCTCCAAGTGCAGTCACAAACGCCGGGTTTTGGAGAAAAACGTTAACATCCACATCCTACAAAGTAAGAATATAAGTTAAAATATATCATACTATAAGAACAAATTATTATTACTTAACAATTAAGTCACAAACACATGAAGTCCTTAACAATTTAACAAACTACCAAATTCATAACAATTTAACAAACTAACAAGCTACCAAACTATCAAACAACAAAATTCACAACAAATTAATAAGTACCTGTGTTTGTTGCGGTGTTTGTGACTGTGAGTGCCACTGGGTGGGAGCACTTGTACCCGCTACGGAAGGCTTAGGCCCGATGCCTCTCACATGTCCCCTTCGAGCATCTAATACCTTCTCAAATAAGGCTATCCAATCAATGGAGTTCGGATCACCACCGAAGTCGGCTATGTGCTGAGTTTGTAAAGCTACCTCAGCAACTAAAGCATTCTGCATTTCACGAAGATTGTCAATATACTTCAAAACAAACACAAAAAAAACAATATTCTACTTCATTTTTAAGTAATAATAACTTACATATTGTTGTTCAACTAACGGGTCAACGAATTCCCCTTGTTTATTGACATGTGCACGGTGAAATACTTCAAGTTTATTCAAATTCTGTTTAACATTAAAAAATATATTATACTAAAATAAACATTACAAAACATGTATAACTAAATAAACATTAATGTAACTTACATTTTTGAAAGAAGCACTACCGTAGCTGCACGTCCCTCCACGATTCTTAACTACTTGCTTCTTCCGGCATTCTTTGTTTACACTGGATCGTTTACAATGTGTATCAGTTAAGAAGTGGTCAATAGTAGCACTCCAACGCCCTAAATCCATACCCACGGGGGGTCGAGCCCTTGCTGCCTCCGCACCCTCTAGCATATCTATAAATTTACCTTTTGCAATATTTTTGCGGCCTCTATACCGTTGACATATCCGATGGTTCAGTGATGCCCATAAAATTCTAGCATCGGGATCATTTGAAATGGCTTGAAAATCAGAATATGTCTACAAAAAAAAGAGAAGTTAAAAATAAATCAAAATTAAACATGTTAAATATAACTTTATAAATAATTTACCGAAAGATATGTAAACATGCCATTTCGATCGGCTCCAGGAACTTCTTTCCAGGTATTCTTATCCAAAGCTATGTCGCGCCAAATATAACTTCCAACCTCCCGAATGAAGCATTCATATACATCCCCAATCGGCACAAAAGTATTCATGTCAAATATTATTTTTAGAGGTTGTCTGCCGTTTGCTTCATATAGCCGATGCATTTTCTTGTTTACTGTCATGCCTCTTCGTCTCTTCGTCTCTTCGTCTCTTCGTCTGGGAGGTACAGCTGCAAAAAAAATATTAATAAATTTAAAGATAGTTTTTTATATACATACAATATGAAATACAATGAATTAGAATAAATCTTAATTACCATCAATCTGGTGAACACCAAAATCTCTACCGAACGGATGTGGTGGCTCGTCACCACCATCACCTCCATGGCCCATCACAGCAGCCATGAGATGAACCAATGCAACCCAAAAAAATGACATCCTGAAATATTATAACAATATATATATATATATATATATATATATATATATATATATATATATATATATAACACAATATGAAAAATTATAACATAAGTTTAGTGGCGGATCTAGAAAAAAGATATAGGGTATGCAGTGTTTACACAAATTATTACTATCAAGATATTTAGGTCAAAAGTCGACGAAAACATATAATAAATTAAGAAATGTCATAATATAGTTAACAATGTAAAAAATGAGGACAAAATATAATATTCTTAAAAGTAAAAATGAAAAATCACAATTGGCAATTACTATATATAAATTTTGATTAATTTGACAATCCAAAACATAAACAACAAAATAACTATCCTACAATTTATAATTAACATGCACCTCAACGATGTTTTTATTAAATTAACAGGTTATATACAATTAACAAGCCTAGGTAGAAAAAAAGTTAAATTATAAAAAAAAAAGTATATTATAATTTGTAGATAATACAAATAATTACATTACAAATATTGAGTAATATTATTAATGAAATCATAGAAGTTAATAAAATTAACAAAAGATAAAAACACATAATCAAACACATTATTAAAACCAAATACACGTACTCACGATATATAACTTTTGATTATACTAAATTAACATATAATCAAACACATTTTCAAATACATATATATATATATATACACACATATATCAAATTCATACACATATATATCAAATTCATATATACATATATACACACATATATCAAATTAATACACATATATATCAAATTCATACATACATAGAGTATATTAATGCACCTGTGGTTGTGGTTGTGGTTGTAGAACTAGAAATGAAAACGGTGGAGATAGCGGCAGTGGCAGTTGGGAATTCACCGGAGACAGGCAGTAGTGGCGGTGCTTGGTGGTTGTAAAGGGGAAATCTCCTTAAGACCACCAAAAGCAGTAAAATGAGCAAAAAAAAAAGAGAAATGGAAACAAAAACAAAAAAACGGTGGAAATCAGAAAGGAAAACAAACCTTTGTCGGTGGAGAAGTACGTCGGAAACTCAGAACGTCGCCGGTGGAGCAGGTACGCCGGTGAGGAGCTGGAAATCACTCCGGTTGAAGAAGTGGGGTGCACCGGTGGTTAATAGTCGATGGAAGATGCAAAACGAGTCTCTAGTCACCGGAAAAGTGTTGAAATCGCCGGAAGAACGAGAGAGAAAATGGACTGGAGGTGGTACCTGATCTGCGATATGTTACCTGGAGGGGAACAAAAAGGTCACCCTTTAGGGGCGACGCCTTTAGCGACGCCGATTAACCATTAGCGGTGACACGTTGGAGGGAAAACACGCGCCAATTTTTTCGTTAACCCCATCCGTCGGATCAAGATGTAATCGTAGGGCCAGGACTTGATCCGGAGGCATTCACACGGATCGCCGGTACCACCCTTTAGAGACGACGTTATTAGCGGCGACGGGGACCTTTAGCGACGACAAAAACGCGAATTGTCGGATGTCGTCCCTAAAGGTAGCTGTCGTCCCTAATGGTGGCGCCCCTAAAAGTTATATTTCTTGTTGTGAAAATTTTCGTAGATGGTTATCTACGAAAATTATCGCTATTTGGGTCGTTTTTCATTTGTACGATTATTTATTGGGAAATTTAAAAAAAAAAAATTAGCTAGTATAATTATTTTAATTTTAATTTATTATGTATGTTGAAAATTAAAATAATCAACATATTCATGAGGCTTTTGAACCATCTTATAATTTGGTAATTAAATATTATATCTATTAAATCACTAGGTGTAAGACTCATATATTATATGAGTTAATTAAAAAAATTTAAATATAAAGGTCTATATATTTAAGAACTTTGGATTTATAAGAAAATAAAAAAAATAATGTATTATTAAAATTGATTTTTTTATCTTTTAAATTTAAATAAATAAACAAAATAAACTAATGGACTTTAATTTGTAAATTTTAAAATAAAAAGGTAAGTCCATTAATTATATTGATATTTATTTATTACTACATTTATTGTAATTATTACATTAAAGTACTATGTGAAATTTATTAAAATAGAAAAACTATAAAATGACATATGGAAAAAAAAAATTAATTTAAAATAACACAAAATGAGGTTTGACAAATTGAATAAGAGGATGACATTTGACCAAAAAAAAAAAAAAAAAAAAAAAAAAAAAAAATAATAATATTTATTAGAGTTGTAGTCACACACAAACAAACACAATAAACTCACACAAACACATTCCAACATATTTCAGAGGATTATTATTGCCATCGGCTTTTTTTTATATTTCAAAACATCTGAATCTGATTTGCAATTGGCAGGGATGAAATTGAAATTGAAGAGGCCAGGGATTTAGGTAATAAAAAGAGGGAGAGTCAGATGTTGCGGCGAATCCATCTGGTTAATTGAAGGGTCGTGTTCAGACCTCCACCCCCAATCCCAAACACACGCTCCGCTGATGCAATCTGTAAGCGAACGATCCACTTTAATTTTTTCAATTTCATTATACTTAAAACTTTCAATTCATATAACCATATTTGCAACAATAGAAATCGCAACACATGACAGAACTACTACCACACTCCAAACCACTGTATGCAGCAAAGCAAGAAGACATTAACTTTGTCCTTTTAAATTTCCAATTTCCAATTCATATAACCATATTTCCAAACACAAGCACAAACACAAATCTGTTTCAATTTCCAAAGGATAATTGATTTACCTGCTGTACGATTTCTTCCTTTTCTTTGATTAAATCCTTTTCCTGCTCACAATCACAATGATAAATGTAGATTAGATCATTAGACTGATGTTGTGTTTATGCAGGTTCTTACTTGGTATGATTGGTATCAAACATACACAAACAGAAGAAGGAGAAGGAGAAGGGGTGTATCATGTATGTGTATGATCTTAACGACCTTGCAATTAACCAGATGAATTAGCCTCATCATATATACAAACAATAAAGACTCTGGTTGGACTTCACTAGCAATCCACTGAATGTATTCACAATTGGGACAATCGAGTGCTATTATATGAGTAATGGCAATACAGTAAGTGCACTATGGATCTTATACTTTGTGTAATACTCTAAAAGATGATTTTTTTTTTTTTACTTTATCTTTATATACCTGTTGTTGGAGGGTGGATGCGTACTCCATCATCAACTGTGTCTGCATCATCAACCATAATCACTGTCAATATATGGAGTTTAAAAGGCAACCTCTTAAGTATTCCCTTTTTCTCAATATCATAATAAGATACTACTAATCAGTGACTAAATGCAAAACATGTAAATATATCAATATCATAATAAGATCCTACTAATCAGTGACTAATGCAAAACATGATGAAAATAATTCAAAAACTAAAATAGATAGGTAAATTTTGAACAAGTAGCAGCAAATGAAAAGGATCACCTTTCTTGACCTTGTTTGCATAAGAGCAGCATCAAGTTCTTCTTCAAGTTGTGTCATCTCAACCAAAGAGAGCTCCTTGTTATTATTATTATTCTCTTCAACAAGCCTGTGCAAAGAGTTGGGTATCATTAAAATCATTATCTTCTAACTTACCATTGTGTGTGTGTGTGTGTGTTGTATGTTTACGTATTACCTGTCCACCATTTGTAGAAGCTCTTTACATGTTCTGAATTTTGTGCACTTCAATGGAAGTTCCTGTAATACATCTCAATTAACTCATATTTATACAAAATATATATATATATATATATATATATATATATATATATATATATATATATATTATGAAAACAATGAATTAAGCTCATTAAGAAGTTGTACGTATGAGGGAGGCTTACTGAATCTTGGCCATCTCCTTTCATGCTCCTGCCTTCTGCTTCATACCTAGCAAGAATATGCTCCACACTGGAACATATATATATATATATATATATATATATATATATATATATATATATATATATATATTATAGGTATACTTATAGTTATACGTACAACATTTAAACAAGTCATTAACAAGCATGCAATGTAGAAAGTAGAAACCAAAGAAATTCAAAAACCCTTGGAGTGGACAATTTTGCCCTGTCGGTTCCTAGTGTTGGTCACATATGGTCTGCTTGTTTGTTGGTGTGGTCGATTTTGCCCTTGATGATCACTTCATAAGTTCATTGCTATATTTTGTTTAGCTTTGGTAGCTTTGTTTTATCCTTACTCTTTGTTGTTAGCTCCTTTGTATTTTCTTTTGTATTTCTTGTTCTCACTTTGTATTTGCTTTATCAATTTATTTTATTTTGTCATGGTGACAATTGACATGGTGACCACTTACTTTTAAACCTCAGTTCACATAACAAAATTCTAACAAGATCAACATATATAAATTATTAATGATTGATTCATTTACAATCATATTCATACTTGTTATTTTTTTGTAGTGTCAGATACATTAGCTACAAAACTTAACAAGCTGCAAAAGTTGTTTGTTTTTGGAATCCTTAATTAGGTGTTGTATTTTTTGGTGCTATTTAATTTTGGAGTCCTTAGGTCTTGTGGTGTTTATTAAGGTTAGCTTCTATATTGGAGTTTTAGGTGAGGTAGTGTTTATTAAAGAAAATAACCTGATCTTGAAAACTTGTTTAAAACCATTTTGACCCGACCCAGAAATATTATTTGATAGTTTTTTGCCACCTCTAACATATTGAAATCCGGGATACGCCACTTGTTAAGTGGAAAAAAAAATTGTGCAACCTATCAAACATTGTTTCTAAGTCTGTGCCTCTGAACACATACGCTAAGTAAAAGTAATGAAATCGTCTTACAACTTTATATAAATTTATGAAATACTTTAAAAAAGAATATTTGATATACATTCATAAGTATTCAATATAAATAATAAAATAAAAAGTATCTTATATAAACAAGGATATGGGCATGTACACATTAGAATCTAATACACGTTTGTTAGTTAAAGATAAAAATGGCTAACTAGTAATGATCTTTTACTAAGAAACAATCTAGGTCAGATTAGTTAGCGATTTTTATTTTTTCATTGTATATATCTGTAGTATTTTTATTTTTATTTATTTATTTTGTGATTTTCCCTTCTTGTTTTGTGTACTATCATTTTTTTTTCCTGTCGACTCATCCTTGCGTTGATTTCTCTTCGTCCTTTCATTAATAAGAAATGATCACCTATCACAACTTACTTTTTTTCTAAATAAATATATAAAAATATAATTTAATAATTATATAAAATCAATAAAGAGAAAACTCTTTCATTAATCTTCTTCAGACATGTTGAATCCTCATTTGTATCGTCAAACAAATCATTGTACGAATTGTTGTCGACGGATTTAGAAGATTATTGTACATATGTTCCATCAAATCAACATGAATGTTTTGATGTACAACACGGTCATATACTTTCCTTCTACTCGCCATGTAGTCCGTTGTACAAATACACACTCCTTCGAATATTGGTAAATTTTCATCTTCATTTTAGTGACAAATCGTTTTTTCTCCTTCTAAAATCATATTATGCAATATAATGCATGCATACATCAAGCTATGTATTCTTGTATGCTCATATGATTGTTCCGAGACTTTGAGTATCTACTAACATCACTAAGAACACTAAAGGCTGGTTCGACATGCTTCCTAGCTGATTCTTGAGTCGCCTTAGACTTTAATCGTTTTTCGTCTCTTGGACATGGGAATGATTTCACAAATGTAGTTAACTCCGATATATCCCACCAGACATGGGAATGATTTCACAAATGTAGTTAACTTCGATGCTCCATTCGGTGATTAGTCTAGAACATTGATGTCGTTGTTGGCACCCGATGCACCAACATTTTCATGCCATATCCTAAGATCATGAGACACAATTGCTTTTAAAATTCTCGTCAATTGTTTCTTATCACCTCATATGAATTGACCGGGCCACGCATTAAGGCACATTGTCTACCCCCAATGCATACAATTAATACTACCAAACATTGCAAGAAACCCATGGTTGCTTTCATATGTCGTTTACAGCTGGTGGACGTCGTTAATTGTAGGTGTGTACAAAGATAGGTCACGATAGAGGATAATCAAAGATTTAACAAACTTGTAAAGACATTCTCGTGTCATTCACTTTGACATCCACAAATACTCATCCTATGAGTCCATTCTTATGTTGAATGCTAGTTGATGAATTGTCGCTGTATATTTTTTAATTGGAGAGAAACTTTGACTGCCTCTCGCATCCCATTTCAGTTGAAAATATGGAAAATTGATTCTTCACTTCATTAACTATATGTAGGAATAATTCTTTCTTTATCCTGAATCGATGTCTACATTTTACAACGTAGACGTCATCATCGGCAAAGTAGCCTTGTACAAGATGATTGTGCCTAACTACACGATTTCTTTGTAAATGATTTTTTCTAGTTTTTGAACACGAACTTTCAACTTCGTTTTCTTGTAGATAAGCGAGTGTCATTTGCATAATGTTCCCAATAAACATCGATTCCCGCAAAGCCAACGTATCAGACGAAGTGGAATATGAAGATGACATTTTGAATTTGATATATAAAGAATATAGAGGTTTTAGGTGTTTGTGTTGTAGTATAAAATTGAAAGTATGTTGTTTATTTATTGTAGAGAAAAAGAATATATATATATATATATATATATATATATATATATATATATATAT